CACTAACCGCTTCACTAACATTTATTTGTACCTCCGACAGGGTCCGTACTACCCACACTGAAATCCGCAGCTGCGCTAGTGTTACCACCGATTGATTTAGACTGCGGCATCGCTGGAGAAGCGCAGAAATAAGGAGAGAATACGTCATCGATTGTGGCGCATCACATAAGACAGTCCTTAATTAACGGAAATAAAACTTTCTTATAGCAAAACTTTATTTACACATATCTGTTTAGAGTTACTTGCCTTTTACATTTAATACTATTATTTACTACGTCTTTTTTAAAACGACATAGCTTTTGAATAAAAGATTCATCTACTTTAACATCGTTGTTTGGTTGATTGATAAAATGGAGAATATAAAAGGCTCTCTAGAATCAAATTCTTTAGTTCTTAATTAATTATTATATGACAGTTACATTGGAGCAGCACAATTATAAATAGTGAATGGCAGAATATTTAGGTGACTAGCACAAATGATTGATGCACAAATTCATAACATGTATTTTGATTGGGCTTAAAATAACTGCAGCAGTTATCCCATAGACAGTCTTCCATCCAATTTGAACGGAATTTTGATTCACTGACAAAATCACTTTATATCCTGAATATACTGTATACCCGAACATATTAATATAGTTTGTTAGACCGAGGCTATTATATCGTCACAAAAGTTTACTGCGCTTTAGTATTGTCAGTTAATGGTGACACTAATGGATAAGCATAACATAATTTAAATTAACGTTTTAATTTACATATTAATATACATTACTTGTCGCAGGGCATTTTGTTACAAAATATAGTTTACTGAAATTGTAAAGACTAGATAAAATGTTCATCTTAATAAACAAATGGATAATAACATAGTAAAAATGGCCTTAAAATAACGTCTGGAAATATTATCAAGTCAAGCGCCTGTCTTTAAAAATCCATTACTCTTCAACAACTCATCAGTTTGTTAAGATTTTTCGCTCATTAGATTCGGAATAAGATGAGAAAAGATAGCGTCTAATAATAGGGGTGTTCATGAAGCGTAAATTTTACGTAAAATTTTTTTTTTTTTTTAAATACGTATCATTCTTCATACATACCTGCTTGTTTGAAACCTCAGAATAAAGCAAGTCTTTTTTATTAATGACCATATTAATATAGCACAATATAACAACCTTAAAATGCACTACAAAATTAAGGGGCAAATTCGTCAAGATTAGGCCTACAGCAAACCTCCGAAAGCTTAGCTTCAAGCTCAAAAATCGAGTCATCTAACCTTTGTTCTGAAATAAATATCTAATTAATTACCAATGAAATGTCCCCAATTATACATAATAATAAATATGATTAACTGCATAACGTCCCTGAAAATCGAGACGATTGACATTGCTACGGATTTTTGACTTTTGTCATAAGAAGAATTATGCTTAAATGCGGAGCGACTGTAAGTTGACAATGCCTCAAACGTCCATCTAATATTACTATGCCGCTTTGCACATTTGTACAATCAAATGCAATAGTAAAAATGTGTATACGATCAATACAATTGTATAAGTGTTTTCTTCGCCGCGTATTAGTCTTCCGTGTTGCTTGTATTGCCAATAAAAATAATAACACATACTTATGTTGTGTCTGAGTTGGAGACCTGTCTCAGTCCAAAACCTAGTCACTCAGTTAGCTCTGTCCAGAACTGACAACACTTATTGTTAATGAATTGTCATATCAACACTTTTGCATACTGGCTTGTTTATAGCGAAACAAATTTCTTCTCTGTGGGGAGCCGCTTCAATTAATTCGCGTTGATTAATATTAATGTTATCCCATTCTGATTCGGTATAAGGATTGGTCTTACGTACCAAAGCCTACCTTTGAGCAAAGCTTTAATGTATTTGTTATAAAAAATTGTTAATATAATTGGCAAAGCACATTGTAAATTAATTATGGTGGTTCTTACCGCTCTTTGGCTTCCTGCCAACGTATTGATGCCCAAATCATCCAGTTTTTTTTAGTAAAAGATCAGAGTCTTTCTATATGTGACCTTTTTACGAATTGCAGGTTTTTTGTTTTCTAACAGTTACAATTTGTTAACGTAAAATAGTAACCATAGTAGCAATAGTCAACAAAACCTACATCAAACGTTGTTCGACAATTAAGGGCATTATGCGCCGCTGTATCTAACTGGTTTGTATTTTAAGATTTTACGTGGTATCATGATATTGTACGAAGAGTCGATGACTTATATTCTTACTCACATTAGAATCAGTGCTGCGCAAGGATAACCCTTCAAAAAGTTCAATATAATGGAAGCACTATCTGAGCGGAAATGCAAATGCGAGTGGCCTAGGTTGAAGCGTTGAAGCGTAAAGTAATCGCTAGCTACACGCGCATGGTCACGTGATAGCAACACAGAAAAGCCTTACAGAAATCGCATTACCCGAGCGCTTGAATTTGTTTAGCAGTAGAAATATACTCTACTTGAATTTGCAGACCATTTCGATAGCCAACATATTTTCAAAACGGCTTTTTATGAGTGTTAAAATTCCAATGATTGAACAGGATATAAACGTGAGAGCATTAACTCTTCTTTAATGTGATATATCTTGTGATTTTACAAAGTACCTTGTTAAGTAATACGTACTGGATGGAAAATCAAAATGGGAAAGTTTTACTGCATACAGAGGAGAGGCAATGTAGGCGAAAAAATCTTTGAAGTGGAGGTCGTGCCAGAATTGACAGATAGGACAAGGTAAATACTTCTTACTATTGATGCAACAGAATGACCCATCTCGATGCTGAAATTAATGTACTGGAAACTAGCTTAACTTTATTCAGGATGTTAACAAGCACAAGCTAGCAGCTATAAGACTTAACCCGAAAGACTAATATTACAAGCTGTCGTTTAGGATTTCTTTCGATGTTGTTTTTGGCTAATAGTTTTATATTTAGGTTTATTCCGTTTTCTTTGGCTTTCTTAAATGCTGTGGCCAGGTATATTCAACGAGTTAGCATTTCTGGAGTGTTGAAAAGATAAAAGTAAATACGGCCTATAATATGAATTTTGTATCAAACAATTCTGCAACTTCTGAAAAGACAGTGCGGCATTATGTTAGATTAATGCTAACGCAAAAATCTCTACGTAAGCACCTTACGCGTTTGTCCTAGCTCTCATAATGAAACGGGCCTTGCTTCTACCTCGTTTACCAAGTAGCGAGCCAAAAATTAGCTAACGCTCATCAATTGATCGACATTCGAATGTTCAAAATACACATCATCGATCTTCATATACACTTCAGCGCATAATGCGCCTGGAGTGCCACAACACAGATAAACCTTCAACTCCCGCAGCTACAACTTCGGCATTCTTCTTTTAACCCGCTTTTGGCGCTCACATTTTAGACACTTTTGCAGTCGACGCCCACTAATTTACTAATCACCTCTCATATTTCGCTGTAAGAACTCGATTAACGACTTGAACATTATTACCAACGTCCCTAATCTCGCTATGGATTCAACCATAGACCATGACTATTTTGAGTTTTCGTGGACGCTCAGATCATACCAGAATACATTCAAATCTTTACCTCATAACCAAATGATATCTAGTCAACGCTTTTGGTCGCCACGCAGAGATGCTATTTACTCACCCGAAGGCGGTGACAATCCCGGTTATCTTTGGTGTGTTGATTTGTATCCGCAAGGTCATAGTGACCACACATCTCACATGTCAGTCTATTTGACAGCGTGGCAAACAAGATACGAGAAAAGTCATTCGATAAAATGTCGACTAGTAGGCTACGTAATTGAACTATACAAGATAAACCCGTTTCCAATATCCAATGAAGACAAATTAATAAAACTATCGGGCCTCGACATGCAGCGAGATTATTTCAAAATGCGAATGGGCACCGATAATTGGGGATTACATGAACTATGCTCCAATAATGACATATTCGGAGGTGACTCCTGGAGTAATGTAGATTTAGTCATCAAGGTCAAGATATATAACAACCTGCATGGGTATAACGGATGTTCTGCTCCATTTCATCTGGGTCATTCTTTTGAAAAGTATTACGATCAAGACAAATTTAGCGATGTTGAGTTTGTATTTGATTGTGGGAACAGGGTGAGAGCTCATCGAGTGATATTAGCCGCGTGCTCAGACTATTTTAAGAGATTACTTTGTTACGGGAAGGTGGATAAAAAGGTGATGGAGGAGGAGAGTAATAACGACTTGGATTGTAGTGCAGACGAGAGTATAGACGAGAGCATGGAAGAGAGTTTGGATACGGCAAGCAGTCAATCTAGTAATCAATCAACTATTAAAGCGATCGTCGAAACAAGTGTTCAGGCTGATGTACAGTCTACTGCTGAGTCGAGCGCTTTATCAAACAATGAATTTTCCAATCCTTCCATGACTCTTCCGACAGATACGTCCGTAACTCCCTCGTCCGCTCTTTTAACTACAATTCCAATTCAAGACATTCCATACGAAGTATTCAAACCAATACTTTATTACCTCTACACGGGCAATGTACAACTCAATCTTTCCTTTGACACTCTCTTTGAAACCTGGGAATACTCCACTCGCCTCGATCTCCCCCATCTCTCATCCATAATTATCAGCCACTTTGCGTGTAATGTCAATTTTGATAACTGGGATCGGGTGTTATTATTAGGATGGACTATTAATAATATACAGTTGAAGACGGCGGTGTTTCAGTTTGCCGTTGATAATTGGGATTTGATAGTCGAATCAGACAACATGAAAGCTATCATGCAGGCTGATGATAAGGAAATTTTTGAGCAATTGGTAAATGTAAGGGATAATGGAGTCGATGTCGAAAAGGATGACAAAAGAAAGGGCGGGGATGGTGTTGATGGTGAGGAGGATATGAAGAATACTTAAAGCATTCAGTTAATTATATTATATTGGTAAAATCTAGACGGTAAGTATTTTGAAATTATCGCGTTGTAGTTAATGGGTGCTTTATTTAAGAAGCTAATTGATTCTTTTATCCAAATGCTCATAATTATAATTGTACTATACTCTGATGCATACTCGGTAACTAGACGACATTTCACGTTAGACTGTTGATGAATATCACGTTAGTTTCTAACCGTGATATGTACATTTAACATAACATAACATAACATACACATGTGAGGCATATATACAATAATACGATCAAAACAAAACATTTATTCACAATATTGAGATAAATTTGTACAAGTACATATATAATCAGGGTCAATGCAAATAATCATACACATTATCTATTTATGGATAGCAATGCAACTAATAGTAAGATAATATTATTATATAGTACTACCCATAAATAGCACATTATAACACGTGATAATCAACAAAACCTCACAAATTGATATTTGTTTTCCATACAACCCAACCGTTCCTAGCACTCTCCACATCTTCTGTTCCTCGTCTCAATCTAACCACGTTCCCACTTTTGTTCGTATCATCAATCTCCCACCCTCTAACTTGAACCTTCAAATCGGGCGATACCACCATCTCCCAACTATACACCAACAACACAATTGTGTTATCCTCATCGTGTTTCAACAATCCGTCCATCAAGTAGAAATCATGTTGAGACGAATCTCCATTTCCATAATACCTACCGATAAGAGTACCATTGAGAAATATATATGAAGTAAATGATCCATAAAGTACTAATCGTAGAGGAGCTGAGAGTTCTGAACGCAGCTTGGAGGAAACGGGATGCGAAAAACTAAATTTCCACCAACTTAAACCATCTGATGGGTTTATTCCACTTTCAGGTAGAGAGGGTAACGATATCCAACCAGTACGCTTATGCTCATCCGGAATGCCGCTGGTGATAAATGGACAATCTAGCCTTCTTGAATCAACCCCACAAATACTCCATTGTGGATTGTTGCTACTCTTAAGACCGCTGAACGAAGCAGAAATAAGCCCGCGTGGGTTTCGAACATCATTAAACATATCCATCTGTCGATTGATTCCCAAGTTCTCTACTACTATAATCAGTACGTTAGCTTCCTCGCTCTTGGGTAGTTTGAGAAATTGTGTCAGATCATATTTTTTCTTTCCAAAGCTAGTAAACAGTTCAGGTCCATTCTTACATCCAGGCGCACGAAAACTTTTCGAATAAACTGTATGTCCACCAACAAATTGGTCATTGAGAAATATGCTGCACCTATGTCTCACATTTATTGAGAGCTTGACTGCTGATTTTAACGAACTGTACTCGGCTGGAAAGCAAGTTTTATATAATACATGTCCAGCTATAAGACCATGTTCCAGCGGCGATTGTTTAAGACTGGTTGGCCGCCAACTTAGATTAGCCAAATCAGACACTCGTTTTTGCCAAGAGCGAAGTTGAGGCGTCAAGTCGAGAGTCGACGTTACATGATGAGGAGTTAGTTGTACTGTGTAGACAAATGGAAGTGGGTATGATGCATTGGGAATTGAAGAGTTGGATGGAGGCTTTAGCGAGATGATAGTGAGCTCCGTTTCATCTTCGCCATAAGAAACCTCTAGCGTTTTTGATTGAGAATTGTAGTATACTTGCTGTGTACCCCATACCACGTATACCGGAGAACGTAAGGATATGTTACTTTGCAATTGTTCCTGCTCCTGTCGTTGTCGCTGTCCCTCGCTTGTCACTTGTGCTTCTTGCTTAGTCGCAATCACATCCTCTTCTTGTGTTTTGCGTTGCCCTTGTCCCCAATATGACTCATCAAAAAATCCGTGCAATGTTCCCAAAGCAGCGCGATCTAATGCTAGTACATACAAACAATTATCGACAGCCTCTCCCAATTTCCTAATCTTGGCGTATCCAGGACTTCCGTCAAATGATACAGCATTAACCACTTTATCACAATTCCTGGTTGACGGACTCATATTACTCTCCACGACAACATCGCCTTCAAAAGCGAGCTCGCCAGTATTATTCACTGGTACAATCCATATTTCACGGGCCGGGGTTGTTTCACTTGCAGGAAGTGTCGTGCGCAGGTATATTGGCAATGTCGAAAATACCAGCTTGAGCCCGTTGAGTGTTGTGTAATTACCCAAAGCTATGAAAGACAGCTTATACGGTAAAAAGCATTGAAGTTGGATTTTATGAAGCATCTTCGAAGATGCTTGGTAGTCGACATTGATTTGAAAGACGGCTTGTTTCTCTTTACTGAAATTTCTGATGAATGTGAGTGTCACCTGCTCGCCATGGTTTTCCGTAATTACTGAATGTCTCTGCAGGTTTACAATCTGTTCAATTGGTGACGAAACTGTCGGATGTTCGACGCGTTCTGTCTTGATGAGTATGTCCGAAAAACTCTTGGCAAATAATATAGATTGGCGAAGGTCTCTCATACGAGATGATGTATAGCCATATTCTCTGATACATGCTGAATAATCATTTGACGTGTACGCATCACTATATTCAAAGGGAATCAATTAGCAACCGATCAATTTACATGTATACAACGTGATTGCAATAAAAATATAACGTTACGTGTCTCCAATTGTTCCCCAGTTCGTGCCTCCATATGCTGTATGTATCGATGTCATAGTACATCCTTGAGCAAGAACTGATTCGAATAATAGTTTGGTGTAGAAATCACCGAAATATCCAAACATATCATCAAATGTATAGCTAGTTTTGTAATGGTTGGACCATCCTCCTTGTAATTCGGGAATGAATATTGGAGACTATAAAGTGTCAGATTGTTAAATAAGTATTATCCACTATGCTTAATAACTATTAAGTTTTGCATCATACTTACTCTTGCAGCCTCGCCACCAAAGCCCCGCACTTTACGTTCAATGCCATCAACGCCATTCATAAACAATTGCGGCTTCCATGGTTTCCACATTAATGACGATTGCTCCTTGCCGGTAGGAGGTACAGGTACTATGTATCAGGAATTAATGAGACAAGTGTAATGGAATACAAAGTTGATAGTTCTTTACGCAAATCTTCATACAAATCTTCTCTAATTGGTGTCATTTAACTTACCAACATATTTACTAAATCCGTACAGATCTAATCCGAATTTCTTCCTGCTTCCAAACAACTTTCCAAAAGTTCTGGCAAAGAAATTCTCTTCTTCGTCAGCTCTCGCAATGAAACTTCCTAGTTCCGCTGGATCGTTATTGAACAGTGGTACATTGATCCCACAATCTCTAGCCACTTTGCACAAGAATCTTATTTCATCATGCAGACCAAATGGAATCCCACACTTGCTCTCAATCAACTTGTTCTCAATCTGCATACCGATCACGCAACCGTCTGGTTTGGTAGTAATCTGATGTTTGGCAATAATAGGGAGTAAAACCTCAAACCACTCTCTCTCATATGCAGCGAATCGCTCGTCGTATTTTTTATATCCGGTGAAATCCATATGCCGCACTCGTAAATTCTTATCAAGTAACCAGAAGGGGTACCCTCCCGCCTGAGTCTCGGAACATATATATGGCCCCGGAGCCGCAAGAACAAATAGTTTTATTTTCTCACATAATCTCAACAAATACTCGATATCCCTATTCCGTTCAAAGTAGTATTTTCCTTCGTCCGGAGAATGGAATCCCCAGTGAAAGCATATTCTCACGCAATTGAATCCGTTTGACTTGTATTTTTTCAATATACTTTCCCATCTGCTCTGATCGGGTATTCTCCAATAGAAGAAATCACACGATATGATGAGTAATGGATGGCCGTTGATATAGAAGCAGTGTTCATCCCAATTGAGAGCAGCACCGTATTGAGCGCGATTATATGCACATTGAGCGGTGGAGATTTCCAAGCAGCCTTTACGTGATTCGATTAAGTAAATATACAGGGGAAATAGGATAAACAGGCCAACAATCACAACGTAAAGGATCATTGCGATAGAGAGTGGGAAGAGGACAAGAATCCGTAAATGATGTCAAGGGGTAATGATATATAATATATTATATCAAAATTTCCCGAATGGTCGGGTCAGGTAGATACTGCGGCAAGTGATCAGAATGACGTTTGAATGGAAAAAAGAAGAAAAGAAATTCTATAGTACAGCAGAATCGTTAGTGGAAGTTCCGCCGCTTCTACCGCTTGGCCATCGCGCTAATAGGCTTTTGGTTAATCAAAGACCAGCATTCATGTCTTATTGTCTTCTACTAATTAGTGTCTGGGGGAAACCGAGTTTATTAGTATTTAAAAAGTTAGATTCCTATGAAAAGAAACCGGTTTAAGAATTCATTCTGTTCTTAATGTTAGAAAGGAGCTCAGATTTCAGATCGCACCAAATCTGGTTTTAGGTAACCGAAACAAAAGACTGTTTGAGCAGAACAATCCACAGGATACGTAGATCGACACTAAGGACGCCCGGCCCTAGCGGTAAGGATGTACATAATAATAAAATATGTGATCTCGCTTAATGACCCATCGAAATTAGTAATAAAATGTAGCAAGTCAAAGGGAACAAAAGGTTGGCTTATTAATTGTAGGAGCCGGGGGGGAAAGCCATCAGCATTTGACATCACAGATCTCTGTTTGCTACACAGGTCATCAAAACGATCGTCGTTTGACGTAGCAAATTGGGCGACGTTAGCTTCATTTCGACTAGATAGCGCAGTCATAAGTTGCAGTTTTGTCTAGCCTTACACTACAAAGTTTCCACAAAACCCAATTTGCCTTGAGCTTTTTTGCATTATCGTCTCGACTCGCAAATGGATAGTTCTTTGCCGCTTGAAATTCTCATAATGATTTTGGACGAGATAAAAGATAGCCGCACGGCGCTTCGCTCTTGTATTCTAATCAACAAGAATTGGTATGGAGCAGCCATACGGTATCTGTGGGACAGACCGTTTGCTTTACTTTGTGCAGGTCGGTCTCGCAAGAGTAAAAGCAAAAAATATAGACGCCAAGCGAACAGTCTCCTCACAACATTCGTTGAATGTTTTACTGATATAAAGGCGATCCAAGAAGTGTTTAACATCTCAAAGACTCATAACAAAAAGTTAGGTTTTGATTATAGTATGCATGTGCAAGAAGTCTGCTTTGAAGAGGTGGGCAATGTTGTCAAACTTTGGGATGGGCTGAATCGTTCTCTATCGTCAACCAAGGATGAAATCGACAGAATAACGGCTAGAGTCGTTGGTTTAGCTATTCAATATTGTCAACAATTGAAAACTATCTCCCTGACTCCAAACTATTTGTCAGCTTCTTATCAACTAATCCAGTCGCTGGGTTCTGCAGCAGATCTACCACAGTTAAAAAGCCTTACATGGAAATCTCGATGTTCACCAAAGGAGGTTTTCGTTGCATTATCAAAAGTAACGCATAACTTGGAATCTATAACAATAGATTTTTCGCATCGTCGCAGCAAAGAAGTAACAAACTCTTTCCAAAATTTCATTCAGTCTCAACAACATTTAAAGACAATCGTTTTGCAAAATGTCCGTATAAGTATGGTGTTACTATTAGAGCTGTTGAAGTCGCAGGAAAATTTTCTTGAATCGATCACATTCAAATTTATTACAATTGACTCGGATGACTCAAGTCTTGGACCGTTTAGGTTTAATCAATTGAAGAGCATTCAAATAGTATCATATTGGGACCAGCAACTGAGTGGATGGAAACCAATCATTGCAGCTGATTTGCCATGCTTGGAGCAGTTTATTTTAGAGACGCAAATGCCAAGTGTTGTTTTGAAACAAATTCTGTGTAAACATGGAAAAAAGCTAAAACACATGGCTCTCAAATTGTCACTGGCAAATGACATTTATAAATTGTTGCCAAACGTTTGTCAAGATCTTAGACAACTGGATGTTACTTTGTTCAAAGAACAGACAGGCCATCTTGCTGAAATGGTGTCCAAACTGCCAAATCTGCATTCTTTAAAATTACATTTAGCTTTTGGGTCAAGTTTTCTTAACTGTATTTTTACTAAATTTGCTGAATATCAGTTCCCACATTTGTATAATTTAACGATATTATGTCGTTCATCCATGGATCAATGTGATGTCGATTTATTAGAGGAGTTTCTGACCAAGTCAAGACCTCCTCTGAGATCGCTGGTGATCAGTAGAGCTGTTCTTAACGAAGCACATTTGAATGCAATACTTTATAATCTCAGTGACACTCTTAAGACTTTGGCCGTTTTCTATCATAAGCAGTATGTTAGTAGTGAGTGTATTAAAAGAGTGAAAAGTGTAGTTGAAAATTTCCACCTTTGTACAGATTTGAAGTTTCAATTGTAAAATATATTTTATGGCTAGCACATATTAAATGAATTGAGTCATGACTGTTCACCGAACATTTTGATTGATACTTGCAATTTCCGATGATACGTTTTCGGTGTAACATAAAACGAATGTCAAATACATACCCAGTACGATTAGCAAACTAACCCTTCATGCTATAACGCAAGACGTACTGCTGGCTCTGGACTACACACAGGGGCTTTTAATATCTTCGCGTTTTCTGTCTCAAGCAGTAAAAGCTCATATATATATACGTATATGGGTAAAGCGGGAGTGCAATGCGAAATCTGAGACTATTCTGTTAGCAGGCCACTAAAGTTTCTCCTGTATGCTTTGAAATACAACTTGCTGCTACAACAACTACCGAGAGTTTACGTAAATACCAACTGTCTTGGCTGTCAGTAATATATATAACAGTTACATTACCGTGTAGGCTTCCCATTGCAGTACCTTGCGAGAACAAGTTGCATTACTAGTCACGATGAGTCATGAAGAATGTGCTTCTGACTAACCTCTTTCATCATTACCTTCATATTATGATAGTGTATTGAGAAATTGGGACGTATGGTATATACTGTATATAATATGTATAGTATAATGATCTCGAAAACGTGAAACCAATTTTCGTCGTCAATCAGCATTAAAACAACAACCAAGAATCCAATGCTTATGAGGCTTATATGTTTGTTAAGCGTAACTGTTGCCAACGTGTGTGCAATGAATTGACCCAGAATATTAAGTACGATTTGAATTTGGATATACCGATTGGCTTGATTCTTCCAAAGACGCGAAATCGGTTTTCGCCATAATCCGAAATAGCGCAACAACCAAGAAACCAATGCTCATATAACTTATATTTTCGTTAACCATAACTGTTGTCGAGGTGTATCCCAAAAATTGACGCAGAATATTATGTACGATTTTAATTTCGATATACCGATTCGTCGAAACGCAAAAAATCGATTTCGTCATAATCCGGAATAGCGTAACCAAGAATCCAATGCTCAGATAACTTACGTGTTTATTATCATTGACATGGTGTATTAAATATCAATACATGTTATTATGTGAAATTCATCGATACAACAATATGTCGCAAAGTCCATAACAATGTCAGTAGAAATGCAAGTGCATTGTTGACAATGTTGGTGACAATGAGGATAATAATAATACGAATTCCCATTGACGGTGTACAACAGTAGTAGCAGAAGTGAAAATGCTGGCCCATTGGGATAAGGAACACTCATTAGGCTACGAAAGTTGCTATTAATATTAGGATAGCCATGGCCAGCGTCTAGTTGCAACGGAAGAACTGTGCAGAGGATTTCGCGAAGGTCTTGATCGTTCCAAGGCGAATATTTCTCTCCATCATTCATGAAGTTGAGTTCCGCCCCATCATTTCAAGTGCAGGTGGTTGATATATCTTACGTATATATTCTTTGAGACTTCAAGAGACACATGCTTGATATTTGCAGTCCACTTATTTGCCTTCCGTTTTGGGTGAACCACAACGTCGAAGTCTATAATGAAGACGATTAGAAAAAATATTACGAAACCTCCCAACCTTTCCCATTATCTTATACGTACCATGTGTGGACTTGTTGAGTAATGCTGCAACGAAGTGACTTGCTCAAGCAGTTCCTATTCACGGCTCGAAGTGGCGGTGGTTCGACTAAGACGTGAATATGTTCCTCAGGAGGTGAGTCTGGAAAGTATTTTTGTTGCAAGCATAAAGGACATTATCGTATTACTATGTCTACTCTACCCTTGTACACTACTCTATGTCCCCGAGTCACAAAGTCGTTACCTGGCTGAGTAGTCATTGCACGTAAGGTATCTCCCCACCGCCTTACTTCCTCTCTCCAGAACTTCTTATTCTCTTCACTCCCAGCAGAACCCAACCTCTCCTTCGCGTCTTCAACTGGTAATTTAACTTGCCATTTCGTAAATTTGATGGGAAGACGCGATGTGATCTGATATACTACGGCTTAATGACGTATTACGTGGAGTGGTTGAAAAGTTTTGATCATGGATTTTATCTTGACAAGTGCTAAAAATAATCAAAGCTTGAGGTTTTGAGGAACAAGTGAAAAAAAAGTTGGTGCGAGTTGACATTTTGTTGAGTAGCATCCATTTTTTCATGGTACACTAAAACGATTGGGAAAAAACCGATTTAAACATAATAATAATTTTCAAAAATTCATTCTTCTATTTCGACGATGTGACATTGCCATAAATAAAAATACGTGATTGAAGTTTTGCGGACGATTGTTTGAACAACGAAAGGAAAAAAAAAACATTAGAAATGTATGGAGATAAGAATTATATTCATGCGTCGGATTGCGTGTTCAGAGAAATTATCAATGTCGTTCCTAATTTCTATGACGAATTAAGCAGTTATTGAGATAAATGTCCACGATCAGAACTTTTCGTATCATCATCACCTTCACACTTTGAATCTGACAGCCCTTTAATAGTTATTTTAGTTTCTTTAATGCAATAACAACAAGAGTTGTTATAATGGCACCAAATTTCAATGTTGCAATCTGCCCCAATTGTAAATACAACAATGAAGATTTTCGTGTTTTCAACCGAACAACAGCTGTAATTTAACAATGTCGATATGAAATTCTGTACGATTACATAAATGGCGCGCAAATAGGTGTCATAATGTTCAAATTGCCGCTTAGTTATTCCCAGCGATTCAATATTATTAATGCGATCTAAGACATTAGCAGCGATCTGGGTTTTTTTTTTAGGAATTAAACTATGTTGTACTGTACTTATGTTTGTCTAATTGAACCGCTGTCGTCTCCGGCGAATTCTAACTAACCGGTTGAGCATAAAATAGTATCTCAATTAAAATTGCAAACTTGTCTTACTAGAATTCGGCCTCATGCGCTCAATTGCAAGACTCGTACATTTGAGACAAAATTTCTTATCTTGCTCAGTAACGAATCCCCGTACGTTTACCACTACTCGGGTAATAAGAAATGATAAGGGCAGCAGTCATGCGGAAGAATCAGTGACCCATTTTGGTTTCAAAGAAGTACCAGAAAAGAAGAAAGAGGATTTAGGTAAAATAATGGTGTAAAATAATAATTATAGTCATTATTACAGGATATTGATATTATCACGTCGTTCAGTCGGACAGGTCTTTGCAAATGTAGCTTCAAAATATGACTTAATGAATGATATAATGAGCCTGGGCATACACAGACTCTGGAAAAATTATTTCATCAATTCGCTTGCCCCAGGACCAGACACTAAACTAATTGATGTTGCAGGAGGTTCAGGTGAAGGAAGAGTTCAATGAGATTACGAATAAGGATAAAACAAATCAATGCTTATATTTATTTTATTATCAAATTTAGGCGACATTGCCATCTCTTTTCTTAAATACTGTCACAAAACTTATACTTCGTCTTCACCGCATGTCACGATAGTCGACATAAACCAACAAATGCTATCTGTTGCCTCATCTCGTCTTGAATCATTACCTTATCCGAAATCTGAATACACCCTACTTCTGTCCAATGCAGAATCGCTCTCTCCTGTTCCTTCCGATTCCTTTGATGCTTATACGATCGCATTCGGCATTCGTAATTGCACCCACATCTCTCGAGTCTTGTCAGAGGCATACCGTGTGCTAAAACCAGGTGGTCGGTTTATGTGCCTAGAATTCGCTCCCAAGCAGAGTTTGGCGATAATAGAGAAATTATACGACGTTTACTCTTTCGATGTGATACCAGTCATCGGACAGGTGATCGCTCAGGATAGAGATAGTTATCAGTACTTGGTGGAGAGTATTAGAAAGTTTCCTCAACAAGAGCAATTTGCCGAGATGATTAAGAACGCTGGGTTTGTGGTGATGGGAAAGGGATGGACGGACCTGAGTTTTGGAGTTTCCGCTATACACGAAGGTTTCAAGATATGACAAAAAGAAATATCAAAGTTCTTCTTAAGAGGGGATATACAATGATGGTGGAAGAAGGTGCTTAACAAAGGTGGGCTTGGCCACAAAGTAAACGAGTACAAGAAATACTATAAAAATTGAGTGAGTTGGGTGATTGTAGAATATGGATTACGTGGATAAAATCATGTTCAACGGAACCTTTACTATCAATTTATAAATAAATAACATCAACAAGCACAACTACGCTGAAACCAATATTCTCTGAAAACTTCCACCAGAAACAAATACTTGTAGGATCTCTATAACATAATCATATTTCCGTAACAATCCTATTAAAAACTTTTCCAACAGCTTGCCACAGATTTATTGCTCAACCAATGCAGCCTTCTCTTTAAAAATTCTCTCCGTCTCGATCCAAACACGTGCTGTATCCCTCTCCGGAAGTTGTAACAAAGTTGGAAGCAAGTCTCCACAAAACTGTTCGCTGCTTTCGCGAGGAAGAAGTGTAGGAAGATGATCGATGGAGATTACGTCTACAGGCTTTGGGTTACTAGGTGGACACAAACAATATGAGATAAAAACACGTGATATTTACAATGGAATTTGACGTGTATGCGTCTTTCGACATACGACTAGGAACATAGTATCCTATACTTACTTGGTCTCAACTTGTACAGTAGGTTTGTCAAAAGTCGTGTTGACAGTGTAAACGGGAATAGGATTATTCGGGTTTGTCGTATCGCAACTAACATCGACAATCACTGACAAGTTTCTTTCTTCATCTAACATTTCCTTTGTAATAAACGACGGAATTTTCTGGCTGAGATAAATACAGTTTATGAAAACATTACAATCGAGGATTTCTGGGAATGGACCTCCCGATTTTGTCTCTTCCATGTCCCATTTAAGAATGTTTGAGCTGGTGAAATCGAGAGAGGGTGTGAGGACAGGTAACAGTAGAATGGCATAAAATGAGATTACCAAAAACTTACTCGGGAATTCCAACTTTCTGCGCAATAGCAATGGCTCCTTTCCCACATCTTCCCAACGCACCCATAACCATCACGCGTGGATAAGAGTT